AGACATCCGTTTACTTAAGGAATGTAAGTCCTCTGTTCATTGGCTCTTTAACCAACCAGTTCCTAAAGAATGTTGAGGTGATATTTAATACTCATTGGCTTGAAAAATGTTTGGTTTGAACGAACGAATGTTTGAACTCAAATTGTGTCTATTCTATTAGCCCTTTGATATTTCTGCCTCTAACAACCATACTGATGGGAAATGTGATTTGGGGTGTCTCGCCAAAGGACAAATAATGGATGTGAAAGTCTCGATAGAGGTGGAGGATGAAAAGCAAAGGAAGAGGGTATCATAAGGAGGGTGAGAGATGGAGGGAAGACACAGGGGTAGACATGGGATGAAGTCAAATCAAAATAATTCAGCTTTTCTTCTCAGCCAACTGCTGGAATGTAATAGGATTTCCCTAAAAGGAGCAGGGAGAGAACGAATTAAAAAGATGAGATTTTCATTTCATTGCTTTATTATTTTTTTCCTCTGCTTTAATCGCCTCAGATGGGTTATTATTTCATGGTCTCGAAGCCCCGAGGCGACGCATCTTAATCTCATCTGGAGGTGATAGTTGGTAATCCAGGCCGAGGCGGGGCGGGCTTCTCTTGGAGGACGTTTATTGCGTTACACACCCTGCATCTGGAGGGACAGTTTATTGCGTTACACACGGCGCAGCGTCGCTTTATTTCGTCCCCTGAGTTCTGGAGGCGACTGGCAGCATCTGTTGGACCAGAAGCTGTCCTTCATCTGAGGGAATTATCTCCACCAACGTTTACTGTGAAGGAAGATCTGGGCGGAGTGGCGGCAAAACAAGTTTCTCTGAGATGAAATTTCAACAAGGACCAAAATGTGTTCTTCATCTCGTCTTCACCACAAATATATGGGCTTCATACTGTAGTTTGGATTCAGCTCTAAGATGGAAACATGTGGTTTAAAGTCCGTTCACGCCACCATGGGTGAGAAGAGACAATGTGGAGTTGACGATCTATGAGGGGTTTTTCATGAAACACTGATACTGTAAAGTGGCTGTTTTTCATCTGTAGGAAAGGGTTCTATAAACCTCCAACACTTGGTTCACCTAAATGAAACTGATGAACCTGACATGCTATACATAGAGCCGGTCCATTAAGAGCCCCTAGCAAGGCATGAAGACCCTTGGAATATTATACATTCAGAGACAGGACATTATTTTTCCCAGAAGAGAAACAGGAAGTGATCGGTTTGCATACACAATTTTTTAACACAGGAAAAGTTCAGGTTTCTTTGACTGCAAGATGGAAAAGTCACATGCCTCTAGTTTCATGGTGTGTGTATTAGCAATATACGTATGTACTGTATACATAATTAAAGTTCTTGGTGTTGTATTCCTATTGATTCAGTGGCGAACGTCAGGGCCTTCAAGGTATTCAGAGAACACTCAGATTAAAACAAACAAAAAAATCGATTTAATTATATAAATAAAATGTATATAAAATGAATAAATGAGAATAGTATCTGTGTTGTTGATCTGTAATATTACAGTGTTACGTTGATTTTGTTTCTACTTCCGGGACCATGCACTACGCATTTCAGTGGTTTTGTGTTAGAAAAGAAAGCAACCAATCAGATCTTGTTCTGGGCTCTCTGGGTAGAATATCCTTCAACCAAGGTATTCTACATCCTTGATAGAATGCCCTGGCCCTCAAACTGAATGAGAGCGTACGTTTAGATTGACAGTATTTGATCAACCAATCATATTGATTTGTAGCCAATGGGCGTTGTTCTTTCAGAGTTTCCCTCGGTTCCAGGGTATTGCTAGAAGGCCCGCTAGTTCACTGGCTTGAGGACAGAGATCGTAGATAAATGCCACGAAGCAATTCATGCCGTTTTATAGTTTTTAACGTTGTGTGAAATGGCAAGTGCAACAGGTGAAGATGAGTTGTTGCGGGAGTACCCTTTTCAAGACGACAATTCAGTGAAAAGACGGACATTATAACGGCGGGGCGGCGAAGGGGGTGTGTGTGTGTGTGTGTCTAAGGTCCAGTTGTGATAGACACGGTTCGCCACTGCTATTGAGTTACTTCCTTTCTTTTCCCAGGGATTGTTTCTTTGAGTATTTCCAATGGAATCGGTTTTTATTCATTATTATTTTATTCTTTTCTTCAAATGGTTCACATGTTTAAGTCCCATCAGTCTCCGCAAGCAGAACCGTCTTCTTTATCTTGACTGCATTTGAACCACATTTCTAACACAAACCCAGTCATTTGAAAGTAAAAGCCTCACAAACTGATTCACTGAGGAAGAGTTCAGAGGAACCTGTGCAAGCTAAACTTTCTTTCAGACACGTGGAGTTCCTGTAAAAAGTGAATTTGGTGTAACGAGTGTGTTTTTAACTTCTTTCTCTCCTCCAGAACATCCACGGTCACAAAGGTCCCATCACATCAGTGTCGTTCGCCCCCGATGGCCGTTACCTAGCAACGTACTCCAACGCTGACAGCCACATCTCCTTCTGGCAGGTAAATCACACACACACACACACACACACACACACACACACACACACACACACACACACACACACACACACACACACACACACACACACACACACACACACACACACCCTACCTGTTTTTGTTTTAAAATGGAATATTCTGTGTTTAGATATCGTTGCTGACTCTCTGTTTAACAAAAACATGGTTTATAGAGATTTTTTTTCGATGTGTTTGACCACAAAGAAATCTGTTGATTGGTTGGAGCTAAACAAAAGTGGTGCAGCTGTGTAGTTCTTCCAGTCACACCAATATAAAGACATTTACTGAGACTCAATCTGACGGGTTTAGATGCTTCATCTGAGTAGAGCTGAGGATTAATTCAAAATTCAAACATTTGTATCTCATTTGATATTTCAGACAGCGGTAGGAAGGACTATAAAGCTCAGTTTTTGTTGCAAAAATAACATTTGCCATTATTTAAAGTGACAAAAAAAAAGTATGGACAAGCTCTGCACTATTAGTCATTTTTCTGTATTGATTAAAATAACTTTGGTCGACTTTTATCTGTAGTTTTTCATGTGCAATGCATACAACAAATCTATTTAAGAAAAAAAAAATAAAAGTTCCAGTGCTAAAAAGAAACATGTACAACTTCTAAATAAACAACATAAAATCATCAGACCAATCACACGTAAATGATAAACACACACACAGGAACACACACTCAGAGGAACACACACTCCTTATCATCTTCCCAGAACTGTTATTTGAATGAGAGGTCTTTACGACCTCTGACACGACTGTCTGCAGACACAGACACACACTAATGGCATTACTGTAAGCATAAACCACTGCAGCGCGCCGGCAAGACGGCTGCTGTGGTAATGAGCTGGCAGACGCTGTGAGTGTGTGTGTGTGTGGGTGTGTGTGTGTGTGTGTGTGAGTGTGAGTGAGTGTGTGTGTGTGTGGTGTGAGGGGCGGTGTCGTCTCAGGAAGCGATAGAGTTTCTACTCGCTGTGATTTTCCTACACATACACACAGAGTCTCTCACAGGACATCATGGGTTAAAATCAAAGCTTCCTCAGAGGGTAAAGCAGGTCCATCGCTAACAGGAAGTGGGGATGAGGGTCTGATAGACACAATGTTCGAAAAACTAAACCATAACTAGGTCAAAACTTTGAGATGCAGTGAGGTTCCTGCTCTAGTTCCTCTGATCCATCTGTTATTATTTGTTGTTGCCAAAGAACCTACTTTAAAGTGGCTTTATCATCTTCTCACTGTGAGCAATGGGTGCTTTAAAGACAGTTGGAACCATATTTATGAGCTGTAAGGTTGCCATTTCCAAAAGTATAGTTTCCTAACTCTAAATTTCCATTTCTTAGTTTTAATTTCATTGATCTCCTCAATGTCCACCAACAAAGAGTCTCTGGGATTATCTCACTTAGAAATCACATCTCCACCAAAATGAGAATACTTTGCGTTTGCAGCTCAACTAAATTCATCCAAAACTGATCCAGAATCTGAAAGTGATCTGATTTAAACTGCAACATTTTTGACCATCTTTAGATTACTGTTGGCATTGTCCATTTTAAACCCATTTATATGACAAAAGATGTGTTAAACATTTGCTGATTCAAGCCTAGTGGGACATTTGTTATTCTACCTTGTACAGGCTAAATGTTACTGGTGTTAGGGTTCATTCAATTGAAAAAAAACACTAAGAAGAAGGCGTTTTGTGAACACGTGCCCAAACTTTTTAACCATAATAAATATGAATGTTTAGTGTCTATGAATCAGCTGGTTGTGTCTCTCCTCAGATGAACACCAGTCTGCTGGGCAGCATTGGGATGTTGAACTCGGCCCCTCAGCTCCGCTGCATTAAGACCTACCAGGTTCCTCCTGTGCAGCCGGCGTCTCCGGGGTCTCAGAACCACCTGAAGCTGGCCCGCCTCATCTGGACCTCCAACCGCAACGTCATCCTGATGGCGCACGACGGCAAGGAGCACCGCTTCATGGTCTGAAGTCTCAGAACCACATCTGGATCTCCAGCTGAGTCTGAAACGTGTCACTCGGCAGCCACTAGTTTTAGCTTCAGATATGTCACCTTAGAGATCTAACAAAGGAAAGGTGAGCCTGACAGTAAAGAGTTTTTATTGAGATTCAGAAGTGTCTCGTATAAAGATCAGAAGGTCATAATTGGCGGGAAAGGTAAAAAGCCAGCTCAGGTTGGACTAAATTATTTTTTTGTTTTTATCTCCTGTAGTGAACATTGTGAAACTTGCTTTGTAATTTATTTAAAAGCCGTTATATAAGGCATGTTTATACTGTGATATGTATTTTTAGTTGTTTACACCTTCCTGTCATTCCTATTTATTGGCCGAACGTCACAGATCTATGTGGGTTCAGACCCTTGCTGTTTACTCGATGTTAGCCAATGACTCAGCGTTATTTGGCTTCCCTGCTACCTTTTTAATTCAGTACTCAAAATGATTCAATCTTAATTTTCTCTTCTTTATATTAAAGTTTGTTTGGGAGTCTGAAACAACTTACGTTGGATTTCTTAAGTTGTCATTGCTGGAATTAAAAAATGTATTTTAAAATATTTCAAAGAAGTTCTCCACCGCTCTCTTTAATGCTTTGCTAATCGCCGACCTCTGTAAGGCAAGAACACACTCTGCACATTTCAGCCTGTGTGTGTGTGTGTGTGTGTGTGTGTGTGTGTGTGTGTGTGTGTGTTCGGTGTTTGCTTTTACTTTTGTGACACCTCCGATGCTTTTTCCATCCTCTCTGAGCTTCATGCAGACATGTGTGTATGTGTTTACACCCCAGAGTATTTTCACAAGCACACATTCTCACTTCAGACGGCTCGTCCTAAAAGCACCATCACAGTTAACCTTAAGATGGTGGAGGCGGAGGCATTACTCACTGCAGATATAAACTTTTTTTTTTAAAAACATAACGTTAATTTGGTCACATTTGGAGGGCAAAATTGAATGATTTCAGACTCCTCCCGACTCCGTTTACATCGTGAATTTCCACATATTTGTTGTGATGGTTTGCGTTGATAAACACGGTCAGAAACAAACTTATCCTACACTTTCTACAGCGACGTCACGGCACATATTTTCATTGTAGCGCTCGGATAAAAAAGCTGTTTGCAACGCTTTATCTGGAAGGTGGCGTCAAGTGACAGCATGCGCTGTGCTCGTAGAAATCAATTGAAAAAGGCGCTATACGGACACTATGTACGTTATTATGTCTACATGTTGGTTCCAGTTCCCAAGTGAACCTTTTCTTGTCGTCTCTTTTCCCCAAATGTTTGTTAGTCATGCCCTCTGTCTCCCACCATGTAAAAACTATAATGGTTCATATGTTTGAAGCCTTGTTTTACCCACCATGGCTCGTGTGTTTCTTTGCAGATGCATGACAACGCTCTTATTTACTGTAAATGTGAAGACTGATCCTTTTTAAACCTTCCTATTTTTTTTCAATCTGCTCTCAGTGTGTACTTGTACAGTCTGTGTATATTATCACAGCTGCTGCTGGTCTCTTGTACAGCGTAGATCCTGCTTGGTGTATCTGTCGTGGCTAACGTGACGTCTGCCTGGCACTGACTAGTTCTTCAAATCCGTAAATCTATTTTAAAATGTCACAGTATTATATTTACATCTTTAGTTGTCTGATGAAGATCTTGGCTATGATTTTATGGAGCAAGAAAGCTGCTTTGTTTACTAAAATGTTGCTTATATTCCTTTTTAAAAACAGCAAGGCATGACATAGCTTGATATCCAGAGCTAGCTCTATCTATGGCTTCTTATGAGGGATGCTAACAGCCTTATTGCATCTTGCTTCAGTGATGTGGAGATGATCCGTCACGTGTGTCAGTACACCGTGAAGTCACTGTTCGGTATCAATTATTTGAACTCTGCTTTGGAGACACTTTTTTTTGGACTGTTTTAGTGCTAAGAGTTTTATTCAGAAAGAGATATATATATATAATATATAGAGAGAGAGAGAGAGATATATATAAACAGATATTCTGTCAGAATCTGTCTCTTGGTAGCGGTTGACATGTTTAAATAACAATAATTTTACACTAAATCCAAGTCTCCTTCTCCTCCTCCTCTCCTCGTCTCCATCCTCCCTCGTCTCCTTCCTTCCTCGTCTCCGTCCTCCATCTCCTGTCAGTTTCATTAGTGCTGTCAGAAAGCTTCTAACACCGTTACCACCTGAAACCCGAGCGTGTCAAAGCTTTTCACAAGTCTCTCTTTAAAAAAAAACATCCGGCAGACAGGTTTACACACACACACACACACACAAACACACACACCACACACACACACACACACACCACACTCCAGACAGCTTTGAGATCTTAATCTTTGGTTTTCTCCACCACTTAACAGTTTGAGAAAATATGTTTTTGTCCGCCTCTCTGGGGATGAAAGGTGAGAAAAATAGAGAAGGCAGGGAGGAAGAGTGGAGGAGTAAGTAACAAGTGAGGAACATCAGGTCATCCACCCAGAAAAAGGGTCTTCTTTGGTGAAGGTAGTGAACTGAAAGGTGTAGAAGGACCTTTCGGTTTCTCTTCAAAAGCTGCAACATGGATACAAATAACATATGGCGCCCTTACGTTTCCAAACCCTCTAAATACATTTGTTTAGTCTTCACTGCGACAAATGACGCTTTCATCTGACTTTAATATAGACATTATAAATATGACAGCAGTTTTACACTATTAAGCTCTATTTTCTTTCTCAATGTCTGTTTTGGATTGATTTGCAAAAAAGAAAAGTGTCTGCTTCCTTACTTTCCAAATTCACATTTTAATTTCATACTTCATGGAAATGGCGATTAATCTCATGAATTATTATCATTTATTGTTTACACGATGAGCTCAATGTAGATATTTAAGAGTGTGGTGTGCAATGTAGTACATGTTTATGGCTTCCCTTGATGTAGGTTGAATCTACATAGTAACGTGTTGTGTAAAAATGTGTTGCTGTTGACTTTGTGTCCAATAAAGATGAAAATGAGACTGGGTGTCCAAAATGTGTTCTCCTGTTTTCTGCTCTATTTTCATTTCTTTCAACTTAAGTTGGTAAACCTACTGATGAAGGGTTGTTAAGATAGAAATGTCATACTCTATGAAGTAAACACACCAGCAGTAAGAGCTTCCATCAATGCACCTTTCCCACATTCAGGTATACAGTATGTTCAGTAAAATGCATGGTGTCCCTTCCCTATGTGTTATATATATATATATAGGTTTCACGACACCCTTGCCAGCGTAAAAAGTATGGCAAATAAAACGATGTGACTTTGCTCCATGTTGGACAGCGATCCTCCAGACTGTTGTTCTGCACCAGCACGGTGTGCTACTACGGCTACTATTAACGTAGCTATTATGTAAGGTGCTGGTATATATATATAAAAACTGTGCTTTCCCCCCCAAAAGTTGTAAATGAAACAAGTGAAGTACATGTGATAAAGCCGTGGAGGGCGGGAGTTTATAAACCAAAGAGTAACCTCCCTTACGGAACGCTCTAATAAGTAAAGCGAATAGAGTGGCGAAGTCCCGCCCATCTACTTCCGACCCATGGGACCTTATTTCGGAAAAATTATGTATTGAAGTCAATGGGGAGAGAAAGATTATCTTTCGATCCCGTTTGAATTGTGCCATGAATTACACATATGATGTTTGTCAATCTTAAAAAATAATTTCCATGTCAAAAAAGACACAGTTTGTCGTAAAACTGTTGAAATATAAGACTATGAAAAATACGCAACTAGAAAGACTACAAATCCCAGAATCCCGGTCCCGCATGCTGGCTCTTAGGAACCGACTAACTCCCCTTGTGTGTATGTACAGCTCTCAACATGCCCAGACTTGGAGTGATTTTCACCTCTTTTAATTTTCCGCCTCATTCTGAAAGAAAGAAGTGAAATGTGCCAACGTGACGGCCGTCTTGGTGTGTGGTGCGAGACGGGAGATGTAGTTCATTGAGCGTTTCACACAAAAAAAAGTGTTACTTCACAGTTTTACGACACATTTTAATTTTTTTGACTTGCAAAATTATCTTTTAAATTGACTAACATATGTGTAATTCGTGGCACAATTCAAACGGGATCAAAAGATAATCTTTCTCTCTCCATTGACTTCAATGCATAACTTTTCCGAGCCGGAAGGGGAGGGACTTCGCCTCTCTATGCACCCGCAAAGACACCTGGCCCCCTATTGGTTGAGGGATTTTGACAGGGATGTTGCACAAAAAAATCCAAGCACACAGCAGAAATCTGAGAGCAGACATTTGACGCACAGAAACAGCATGAGTGCGGGAGAAGGTTTTAAGCTGGAACACGGGAAATCTGTGCAAGCAGCAATATATCTGTTTGTACAGTTTGAGCAGAAGCAGAGCAAATCTAAGCGCAAGCAGGCACAATTTGAGTGCGATGACAGGGTTTGAGGGAAAGAAAAACATAATCTGAACGTGAAATCAATAAATGATGCTCTCAAATTTAAAGACCGCGCTCTTGAATAAAGATAGGGAATAACCCATAGTTTTAGTGCATGTAAATGGTCCGCAAAGGCTAAAATCCCAAAGTTCACTTCAGAGGTAGTTTCTCGCCCACACACTAAGGGGCGGGACTTCTCTAAGCGGTTGACCAATCACAACAGAGCTGGCCAGCTAACCAATCAGAGCAGACTGGGCTCTGGTTTCAGACAGAGGGTGAAAAGAGGCAGTATGAGAAAAATAAAGTGCTTTTTGAACATTAAAGCATGGAGACATGTCACAGTAGAGACACTAAACACTAATATGAACCTGAAACTGAGCAGAATATTCCCTGATTAAACCTTTCTTTAATCATTGGCAGTTATAGGATTCTTTACTCTGTTTCTGTTTGATCAATTAAGGCTAGTTGTACTCTCTCTGATCGTGAGTTCAGAGCAGTTTTAATGAGTCTCTGATCACAGGGCAGCGGATCAATGTCCTTTAATCTCAGAAACTGTCAGTGTTGAAGATGTTCTGTTTTTCAATCTGTCGAATATTTTAACCAAACCTTCGGCTCATTCAATTTAATTTAAGATCACCGCTGAGATCTGTTCATAATTTATAGGTGGATAATGATTCAAGTTGTAGTATTACATGTGAACTGATCAGTAATTCACTTTTAACCCATATATTAAATATGAATAGTACATTCAGAAAATCTCAAACTTTACTTTTGAGTTGTTTCTTAGTTCCGTTCTGTGTTTGTTTGCTGCTGTGTATTGGTTCATTTTAGCTTAAAGATATTCAAATCTGTTATTAACATTGAGTAATTAAGGGATCGTTTGTGGTCATTGTTTAAAGAAACTATATGTTGACAAAAATAGGATGTGAACAGTCAAGATTCTTCTAGGGCCAAGATTTGTACTTGTATTCTGGGGGGCAATTTAATAAAAAGGCACGTGTGTACTGTGGAGTGTTAAAGGTCCCATGTCATGCTTTTCTGGTTATTACCCGTCCCCTTGTGTTATGTAGCTTTTTCTGCATGTAAACGGTCTGCAGAGTCACAAACCCTCAAAGTACACCCTGTAGCGAGTAAAACTCTAACACAGAAAATACCTGTCTATGCTGCCCCAGAACGCCTCGTTGGAGATTTCTCTTTTTCCATTGTTTACTTCTTGGGTATAGTGACGTATTTCGGGTATAGTGACGTTACGTCCGCGGAGCCGTTACGTCCTCGGAGCCGTTACGTTTGGACCAATCCGCGGACTTCCTCACACACACACTCGGCGGGACGTTGTGAGGCTCGCTGCTGCGAGGAGCGGGACACTGTGAGCTGGCTCACTGGTGTGGGGTCGGCGAGACAGCGAGACACCGTGGAACTCAGCCTGGGCACACACACAAACTCCCAGCCAGGCTGCGGGGGTGTGTGTGGTGTTTCGGGCTGGGTTTCGCTGTGTCTCGCTGTCTCGCAGACGGCCACTGGGCTCACAGGGAGGGGGGGGGGCAGGAGCTCCAACAAGCCGTTTAGGACAGAGAGTGAATACACATACTATACAGAGATGCTGTATGAGAAACCAATGTGAGTTTGGAAAATTGCACAATATACATGTATTCTAGTAGACCTCAACAATGGAAAAACCTGGGTAAAACCTTGTAATGTGATTAATTCGCTTTGATGTATCCGTGTTAAGATTTCCAGGTTAATCGTGGGCGTTAATGTCGACAGCCATGGTAGAAATCTGTGGACCGGCCCTTCTTTTTTTAACCCTCTCTCCCTTGTGTCTCTCCAGCCTCCATCTTCTTCCTCTCTCATCTCACACCATTGATCAAACCTCCAGGTGTCTTTGACCTTTGACCTCTCGACTGCTCTGTCCAGAAACACTGACCGTTTATCACACATCCCCTCTGTTCTGTCTCTCTCTCTCTCTCTCTCTCTCTCTCTCTCTCTCTCTCTCTCTCTCTCTCTCTCTCTCTCTCTCTCTCTCTCAGGATCTCTTTAATCAGCGCTCGGTATGAACACCATCAGGTATTATTGATGCTATTGATCGGCAGCTGTAATCCTCGGGCGCAGCTCAATGTTTTTCTTGTCTCGTCTCCTCACCTTTACATTCCTTCACACAGAACCGGGAGGAAACTCGCAGAAGTTTGAGATGTTTCAAAACTAACTTTCACTTTTGATGCATCAGACAGACATGTGTGTGAGAGGTGGACGAGGAATCCTAATCAAAACCAGCAGGAGATACACGAGAATAAAGGAGGCAAAGTAGAACTTTATATGATAAAGAAACTTCTGTTAAGTGTTATTTTAATAATTACAATCTATTTAGCAGCCTATATAACTATGTCAAGTTATCATTTCCGCCGTGTCAGATCAGATTTGTTAATGATTTGATAACTGTAGTGTGTGAAAAACTGACAACACACAAACAACAGAAATGAAAGATATAATCAGAGGTGGAAGAAATACTCAGATATTGTACTTGAGTAAAAGTTCTAGTTACTTTACTAGATATCATGTACTGTATTCAAGTGTATTACAGTAAGGAGTTACAGACACTTTATAGCAGTGTTGCATAACTTAAAAAAATGTTTCAGGTTAATAGTAGTCTTGATTTCATAGTTAGTTTTAGACCGCATTACTTCTTGGGTATGTTTAGGAGGAAGAGATCATGATTTGTGTTAGTATGTTAATAGAAAATGTAGATTACATATATATAATTAGGTTAATAATGTCAACATATATAATAAAAATGTTACTCTCACGGTAAGAATTGAACAAAATCATGTACTTCAATTCAATATAATACCAGAAGAAAGTAAAGTAAGACAGAAGAAACACAAGTACTTCATATAAAGATACAGTATACACCATACATCTGATATACATATCATAATCAGAACCTTGTTTGTTTTTTTATCCCAGGGGGAATTTAGGTTTCATACTATTTGCTATAACCCCTTTAGGAAAATCTGTTGACTTTTGGTTTCCCATTGGACACAAACTTCGATCTCTTGGGTGTTATTTTGACCCATCTACTGTATACATCCATCCATCTCCTGACCTCCTCCCTTTGCTCGCATCACAAATACCACCACCATCAGAGGTCAGGGTGAATGCAGAGTTTGGTTAAAATTAATTCTGTCCTGTGCACAGAATTAATCTGTGTAAATTGAGTTCTCGTTTGGTTAACGTTAACACATTTTCCAAACACATGTCGCCATAATCGGACAATTTCAAACACGTAATATTGTCAAAGTGACGAGTATCAGTGTTTGAGTTTATCATGGTTTGTTGGGAGGGAAATGTACTAGTAACATGAGGCTGAAGGATTAACTAAACTGTCAAATATTCACCAATTAGCTTCAAGTCTATTCATAAATACGAATACGAATCATTCACAAGGCCAAATACCTTGATCACACTAACGAATTATTCCTGCAGTCAAAATTGTTAAAATGTACAAATTCCAAACGGCACAAATCATGTTTAAGGCAAATAATAACATTTTACCAGGAAACATCCAAAAAGTATTCACTCAACGAG